ATCACCAGGAGACTGGGAGTTCTAGTCCTGCCTTAGGCATGAAAGCCGGCTGGGTGACTTTCAGCCAATCACCGGGAGACGGTGAGTTCTAGTCCCGACTTAAACATGAAAGCCAGCTGGATGACTTTGGGCCACTTCCCCTCTTCTCAGGCAACCCACCTCGCAGGATTGTTGTAGGTACAAAAGAGGAGGAGGAACCAGTATTACAAATGTTCACCATCTTGAGTTACTTAGAAAGTAATAAAGACAGGATAAAAAAACAGATTGCAAATCTAATCTAATTCAGCCGGCAACTGACTGGATCCGTGAGGATCACAAGCACAAGATCTGATTCTCTTCCGAACCAGAGCAGGCCTCCGGCTGCGGAGTCTGACTCTTTGGCACTGAGGTTTGGCACGCAGAGCCGCTCTTTTCCGTAATTCCACTGCTACACATTTCCAAGTTTAAGGAGAAAAACTCGCTTCCAACAATGGAAGCAAGAAGGTATGACCTTACCAGCTCCAAGGCGCCAGGGGCTCGGGCTAATTTAGCGACCACGAACAGGCGCTGGATGCGTGCCCAGATGGAGATGTCTTCGGCGGGCCCAGAGCTGCTCACCAGGGGGTGAATGAATCCCTTGTAGACCAGTGAGACATCCATCTCTGTGCTGGGATTCAGGGTGATCGTGGTGCTTCGGACGATGGAGACCTGTGGTAAAGCAATCGCCACAGCACTTATAGACTTATATACCGCTTCACAATGCTTTCCAGCCCTCTCTAAGCGGTTTACAGAGTCAACCTATTGCCCCCAACAATCTGGGTCCTCATTTGACCCACCTCGGAAGGATGGAAGGCTGAGTCAACCTGGAGCAGGTCAGGATCAAACTCCTGGCAGTGGGCAGAGTTAGTCTGAAATTGTGCATTCTAACCACTGTGCCACCATGGCTTCCTTCCTTCCTTCCTTCCTTCCTTCCTTCCCAAGCAATAGAAGACTTATATACCACTTCACAGTGCTTTACAGCCCTCTCTAAGCGGTTTACAGAGTCAGCCTCTTGCCCCCAACAATTGAAGTCCTCCTTTGACCCACCTCGGAAGGATGGAAGGCTGAGTCAACCTGGAACCTGGTGAGATTCGAACTGCCAAATTGCAGGCAGCCGGCAGTCAACAGAAGTAGCCTGCGGTACTGCACTCTAACCACTGAGCCACCGCGGCTCAGTTAAAAGGCAACTCGGTGAGGAGAGGATAGTGTGTGTGAGAGAAAGAGGGCGAAGACAGCTCCTCCCTAATAGAGTACAGGTAATCCTCGACTTACGACCACAATTGAGCCTACATAAATAAAGGGTTTGACCAAAAGCCTTATACTGTCTACTTTGGAAGCTCTGGGTGGAGGGTTCTTTTTTTTACTGTAATTTATTCGATGGTTATTAAATAAAGACACAGATATTACGTATCACCCCAGTCCAAGGAATACATTGGAGTCATGTCCAGGTCTTTACCTTGTCCGGCTGGGAGTCGTTGCGTGGCTGCTGGTAGGTAATCAGATGAAGGCCGGGCAAGAAATCTTCGCGCTGACATTGGGCCAAGGAGGTGATAAAGAAAGACTGCGGCCCCCACCAGCCATACGTTCCCGAAATCTTCCCCACTTGGCACCTGCCCTGTTCTGGGGAAGGAAAAGGAATCCGGTTAGGAAAACACAGAGGCTGTCAGCTTTGAAAGCCATGTTGAGACCAGATGCTCCCACGCTGCCACATTTTGAGCCTGGGAAAGGGCACCGCACACCAGAACAACTAGACACAAGGACAGTTTTTTCCCCGAATGCCGTCATTCTGCTAAACAAATAATTCCCTCAACACTGTCCAACTATTTACTAGGTCTGCATTACTATTACTATTAACATTCTCATCACTCCTTGTCGCCCATCCCCTCCCACTGGTGACTGTATGACTGTACCTTTGTCGCTTGTATCCTTTTGATTTATATTGACTGTTTCCTAGTATGTTTTGATTGCTTATTGTACCCTAAGACTATTATTAAGTCATGATTCTTGATGAATGTATTTTTTCTTTTTATGTAGTGGGAGCATAGACACCAAGACAAATTCCTTGTGTGCCCAATCACACTTGGCCAATAAAAGAATTCTCTTCTCTTCTCTTCTCTTCTCTTCTATTTTCTATTTTCTATTCCATTCCACTCCATTCTATATTCTATTCTATTCTATTTTCTATTCTTCATTCCAATACTCTATTCTATTCTTATTCTTTCCTATTTTCTATTCTATTCTATTCTTATTCTAATTCTTATTATTTTCTATATTCCTATTCTATTCTATTCTGTTCTGTTCTGTTCTGTCTTGTTCTGTTCTATTCCAATCCATTCCATTCTATTCTATTAACCACTGTCTTGCTTAGCAATGGAAATTTTGGAGCACAACTTGTGGTCACAAAGTCAAGGAGGTTAAGTGTTTGGAAACACCTCAAGGCCGCATTGATATGTGTGGAAATCACATTTTCCTTTAGCAAGAGGAAATATTTTGGTTGATCTCCCTAGAGAAAATTGTACTTTATTGTGAAAGTATAATTTTCTCTAGGGAGATCAACCAAAATATTTGTTAATTGTTAATACTTCAGGGAAGGGAAGGGGGGGGGGTGTTCAGTGGAAAGGTCACTGGATGCTGTAAAGCCAGGTGTCAAACACAAGGCCCACAAGCCGGATGTGGCCCACGATGTGGCTGGATTTGGAACATGTAAAGGGCCAGCTCGCATGACTTTGGCCCGGTCTACCCAACGTGAAGAGGAAACACACCAGCAGTTTGGGGTGTGGCATCAAGCTGGCCATGCCCCTCCAGTCAGCCACACCCACCTAGTGGCATCAAGCTGGCCACACCCACCCAGCTGGCCACGCCCTCCCCAGGTCATCCACAGCCCCGATGTGGCCCTCAATGAAATTTGAGTTTGATGCCCCCCTGCCATAAGTAATCAACATTGAGCATTTAATAGGAGCGTTTCTTAATCATGGCAACTTTAAGATGTGTTTCTCAACCTTTAAGAGACGTGGACTTCAGCTCCCAGAATTCCCCAGCCAGCCATATTGGCTAGAGACTTCTGGGAGTTGAAGTTCATCCGTCTTAAAGTTCATTAGCAGGCTGGCTGGAGGATTCTGGGAGTTGAAGTCCACGTCTCTTAAAAGGTTGAGAAACACGGCTTTTTATAGGATGCCATTAGGATTCTGGCTTCGCATCTTGATGTTCTCCAAGCCTACAGCAAAGCACGGACAGGCTACCATAAAACCCCGTCCTTAAGAGGGGGGCTTGCAGTGGCGAGCAGAGCTGTCCAGTTACCTGAGGTGGGCATGCAAGTCTCATTTTGCACACACCAGCCGAAGGGACCTGAAGCTCGGGGCAGAGAACTGTTGGTGTCCCCAAAGGCGAGGCAGGATTGGCAGTCGACTAAGAGGCGGGCCAGGCCCAGACAGCCACTGTTGGGGCACTAAAAGAAGGAAGAGGGTCGGGAGAAAGAACATCAGTCAGGAAAGCAAGCAGCTAAATGTGGTGGATGAAGTATCAGAAATTATATGCCTTTCGGCCTAACCACGAAGACTGTACAGGCCTGGCCTTGGGATAAAGGCAGATAATCCTTGATCTTGATCTTGACCTTCGTTCACTGATCTGACCTTCATCCATCCATCCACCCTCCCTTCCTTCCATCCTTCCCCTTCTGCTATCTCTCCATCTCTCCTTTCTTCCCTTCCCAATTTCTCCTTCCTTGCATCTTTCCTTCCTTCCCCTTCTGCCATCTCTCC